GAGAGAGAGAGAGAGAGAGAGAGAGAGAGAGAGAGAGAGAGAGAGAGAGAGAGACTTTAGAAATGTTCTACTGTAGCATTCATGTGTTGGGTGTGCCTTTGCACAGGGTAAATCATACGTTGGGGCACTGCTAAATCAAGGTACAACTGTATTTACTGACAGTGATGCCCTCAAATGTGCATGTCCGCAATGCCCTTTTTGGGGGGGGGGGGATTTATTGAACGGGGGTGGGAGTTAATCAACACAATGAGTTCTCAAAAGCAGGAGCTGTTGTCAGCCACAGCTCAAACTCCGACACTCACACAGATGTCAGTCCGCCCGGCCTGGGCTCATAAAGGCGCGTATCCAACACAGACACAAGATGATGCTTGCGATGTTTTTTTGTGCATTTATGTGTTCAATAATCACTGCACGTTACAAACATGCATGACTTTAGGCACCCTTTTTTTTCTCTGACTGTATATTAGGCTTAAATGCATTTGAATTCCTTCTCAATGCTGCTGTGTATTTCTTTTAACTTTGCTGTTGTTTATCTGATGGACTGCGTCTATGTTTCTGTCAATCCAGGGTATGTACTGCATTCATCTCTATATCAATCGATCTCTCTATCTCAAATGGCAAGTGCGTATTATTGGTACGATTCAATAAGAACGTCTCACAGGGTGGCAAAGAAACGCTATCTCCGGGATCGACTTTGGTATTTTAAGTGGATCCGGATGCTCGGGGTGGGGGTCGGGGGCGGGTTTAGCACACTTTCTCCACACAAACGCACTATTTTTCTCCAGAAGTTTCCAACAAGCGAGGTCATTTGGGAGACACATTCCACACTATGTCGTCATTGAAATGCATTCGCCGAGCAAACAAATATTAATAATTACGATAAAGTAATCGTGAAATAATGTGCTCACCAACAAAAGTAAAGAGCTGGACTTTTAAATGTTAAACGGTAGAACTTTCCATGAACTCTTAATGGCAAGAAAACTTTAATCGGTCGGGTCTAATGGCCGAATCGCATGATGCGCTAATGTGAGTCGCAATGCGGACGTGCAAATTTGTGCATAGGCTCGAAAATATTCGAGAGTGATTTGAAATCTGCCACACGGACACTTCTTTGCGCGAGAGAGGGAGCGACAACGCCCAAAGTCTGCTTTGAACAAACTCCTGCGCGACTTGTTTAGATTTTTTTAAAGAGTTTTTATGGTTGCGGCATTTTCAAACTGACCGAATCATTATTGCAACATACTCGCGCATCGATTTTAGCGAGTAACTTGATTTTTTAAAATGGGTTTCTTTTGTCTTATTTCTTCTCTACCAATAGTTTCGGGTGCTGTGGCGACTTTAGTTTGCCACCCACCTCAGCCAAAGTGGCGCATCAAAATGGAGGCTGCGCAGCCGTGGGTCTCGAGAAGAGCGCAAAAAGATGCAAAAAAAAAAAAAAAAAACTTTCAGGAGACTTGCATCGATTTCGTTTCGACAGCCAAACAACAACTTTTCACGTACCTTGTTTCTGACTTCCGCGGTTAAGCCGTAAGAAGGACCTCTGTTGAAGCTCATCGTGAGATTTTGGGCGTCAAACGGTTGAAAATGACCCGTTGGCGAGTTCAAAAGTAAGGAAAATAACTTGGCCGCGTCCGGAGGCTGGACGAAATGCTTCCTTTTCTCTTTGACGGCCGCCAATTGGAAAGCTCTCAGGGCTTTGTCCAAAGAGTATGACTTGGAGAGACAAGAGAGTTCCCACCATGCTTACACTTTGTGGCATTTCTAGAGGACACTGAAGGCACCGCTGTTCTACAAAACCGGACCGTTGATTTGATGATTTTTGTTATGTTTACAAGAAAAATAGATCATCATCGAGCATCATATTATTTGATTGGTCCAATTCAACCACTTTTTTATGAGATACTACTTCTGTATTTGTCATGTTATGTATTTGGCTGTTTGGCTCCATGATACTGAAACACGCACAAAAAAATATTTTAAATTGTTGCTGATAGTTTTTAAAACTAATCAAATTAACAGATTTTCTTGCAATACTAATTATTTTTTTGTATTACTCTGATTTGAGAAACGGGCATTCAAATCAATGCTAATGTGTGCACGGTAGTCGCTGCTCCGCTAACTGGTCAAGAGCAAATTTAGCTCTATCTATCTATCTATCTATCTATCTATCTAGCTATCTTTATAAAGAGAGAGAGAGAGAGAGAGAGAGGGAGAGAGAGAGAGAGAGAGAGAGAAATAATAATGCAAGTAACACCCAAATATATCTGAGGCGGAGGTCATGTTTTTGTTCATTTTGCATCACCATTCTGATGTTCTACACTGCAGTATCTGTGATGTTGAATGTGTTTGTAGCTTTAGAGGCGGTCCTGGCCTGGCTGTTAACTAGCTAAATATCAGTTGAGGCAATCAGTAAGCCATCGAGAAATGCCGTTTGGTTTTTGACTGTATTTTGTTGCCGTTTGTAATTTAAGACAGTTGCGCTTTGGACTTCCGCTTCTTTGATTAAATGTGAAATGATCGCATATTTTGGACATTCTCCGTCTTGTACACACTCTTTCCTCCTTGCTGGCACTACTTGCTGTGGAGTAATTGAGAAAAATAAACAAACACGCAAAGTACTACGTTGAAGTAAGAAAATCCGCAATCCGATGAACCCTCATAAAGGGAAATGCAAGACGGCGAAGGAGGACTATTTCTTCATAATGACAACGGTCAAAGCCTGCTGCTCCGTGGACTTGCCACCGAACAATAGGCCGATGAAGTCGACACGTGCAGAAGGCGGATATATCTTGCCTTAACACGCACTCTTCGTCAATCGATCCCAAAATCCTTCCCCCTCTTTAGTTCGTTCGGTGCCGATTGATATGAAAAAGTCCATATATGGAAGGAAACTTCCCGAATTCCTGAAGGGTCGGACTCGGTTGCCCGGGGCTGCCTCCCTGCTCAGCTTCCCAGAAAGTTGGACTTCAGCAGACCCACTTTGTCGCACGTTCTTGACTCACTGTTGTAAAAAAAAAAAAGAAAAAAGAGCGCATCGAGCTACCGAGCTGACGTAATGTCGGCGCCACATCTGAAATTCCCAAAGTACAGGTGGCGACATGAATATTTCTTCACAAGACACGAGCACAGGTGGCAAACCACTTCACTCTACTTTTTTTTTACAAGTATACACTAGGCACACATACTTGCGTGAAGAAAGAAAAAAGACGAGTAAGAGTTGAAGGACTGTTTTGATAACTTCACAAACAAAATTTGAAAAAAAGACGTGATGGAGGCGGTAGTTAACCACTTTGAGTTAATTGGTATGAATTATGTATGCCTTACAAAAACGTATCCGGGGGCAGCGGCGTCGCCAGACATTTTTCAGTACGATGGTTAAAAGGCATAATGACACAAAAATCCCTTAGGTTTGTTCTTTCTTGTGTTATGAATGTTGGGCGAGATTAATGCTATATAAGTGTAAATTGTATCCGTAATTGTGCATAGAGTTCTTTGATTTAATGTATTAGATTCATCTTAAACGATTTAATGGGTGGTTCCAGTAATATAGCATCACGTCATTGACAAATTCACTTTTTATTTCATATTAATGATTCAGGAGACGATTTTTTTAAAACCATTTTTACTGCGACTTTTAGCCTACTAAGTGACATATGATTTGATTTATTTTCATTTATTCTTACGTAAATGGTCTCGTGTTATTTCAGAAACGTGGGCTTGCTTTCATTTTCGGGTATGTGTGTCCAGGGAGTTCAGTCCAGGCATAGAAAGTCGATACAGGACTGACTGTCTCGCCTTTATTGTATATTGCTAATTGGTGTCAAAATCATTGGTATGCACCACTCCTCTCCCATCAACAATATTTTTTCTAAGGGGCAGTACACTCATTTGCTCATCTGAGCTTTGCATGCCACTGATTGTATCTCTGTTCATCTATCTTAGCCAGTTACAAAGAGTGACAGGCAGCACAATCAAATGCTCATTCACTAGATTCCAGAAGGTGCCTCATTAATGAACCTGTTTTTCAACTTGTGTGCTATTTTGCCTTGTTTCCCAAACCCTAACCCCAGACGACTAGGGTCTTTTTACTTATTTATTTTTGATCAGCGCGTTGCACAATTGAACATCCAGCTGTCAGTGGTGTTGCGGGCACGGTCACTGATGTAGAGGCTTGAGTGGAGCCTCACTAATACTGTATTGGCATGTCAGGATGTTTCTGCACACGTGCAGCCGCTGGCGACGTCATCCAGGTGTGCGTGCACAGGGCTGACTCAGAGTAAACACCTGCCGGGAAAGTCATGACCCGGTGTCTGCGAGAGGCAGACGTCAGCTCATTGCCTAATAGAAGAGAGTGTCACGCGAGCAACTTTATTTTCAGACTGCTGACATTTTGGAGGTGCTGAAAGCGGTTGGTAGACGTCAACTTAAAAAAAACTGAAGTTGTGGATCCCTTACTTGTGAGGCACAAGTACTAGTATAGTCTTATCCTCACTAGAAAATTACTAACTCAAAAAAGAAAAAAAATCACTCCTTGTGCCACTTTTGGCCTACTAGTACACAATTCCATCTTACTACAAGGTTGAAACTAGTAGGCATGTTTCACAGACTAGGAGCCCCCTGGACTCGACTAGTAGTTGTCTGACTTTGTGCCAGTTATCCTACTTGTGTAGAGAAATGCAATACAGTTGTGAAAAAAACATTATTGTACAAGTGCACCAAGTATCAATGAGCACACGAGCAATACCTAAAAATTAGGCCAGTATCGGCCAAATACTGACACCTGCTATTGGTACACACCCATCCCGATGCAAAATTCTACTCATTCACATTAAAACTCTTCACAACGAAGTGACATCCGATTCCACTAGTTAACAGAAAGTGGTTCACTTGTAGGACGAGTAGCACACGGTTGTCAACTTGTTCTGTTGTAGTTACATGTACTTGTTCGAAATGTCAACAGAGGAGTGAACAGGTTTACTAGGTCAAAAGTGGCACTAGTAGTGGTAAAAGACACAATAGTTCTGTTATCCATCGTCCAAATTGCTTATCCTCACAAGGCTAGCGCACTGAATTATCTTACTTGTGAGGACCAAGTGTGTACTGGGACATTGACCTTTAGCGGGATAAAGGATCGAAGAGCCATATTGGGCGTTTAGCTTTCGGTCACAGTACTAGGCCAACAGCGGCACTAGTAATGGAGAGAACCCCCCCCCCCCCCCATTCTCTTAGTGCCATGAATTCTCTTACGAGTGGTGAGCATATTTCATCTGTGCTGTATGTTACACATACGGCATATTTGACAATAAAGTTGTACTTGATACAAGCAAATGGAGCTGGATGCTGGCCATCAAATATTCCAACGGTTTTCCATTCGTCTAAACGGAGCAAGCGCACCCCCTTGTGGACGAGTTCATACCACATTTCAGAATACAGTACAGTACTTCCAACATTCAACGTTGCTCCTTCAATCACATGACCGTAAATTCTCAGAATCCTACGGACACACAATCAAACGGCCGAGATGAAGAATTAGATCATTTTATTTGTCAAACAATTGAGAGATGTTAAACACTGAACAAAGACGCCCCAGTCAAAACTACAGAAAACATTCTGAACATTATCAATCTGGTGGAGCACTTTTATTGCCAGCTGTGGTGTGCACTTCTTCTGCCTTCTGCGTTTGCAGCCTCACAAAAATTCTGTGTACCCGCCCCACCAAAAAAACAAACAAACAAAAAAAAACCCCCGAAACGATGCATATACCAGCTTCACCCTGATCACAAGATTCAGAGCTCTCGACAAATAACCCGGCTGCAAGGTCAGGCCTTCGCACGCGGAAGCAAATGCAGATTTTCAATTTACCAAAGGCACATTGGTAGGGAAGAGTGAGCAAGTGCACCAGCCAAAGCGACGTGTGCAGGGATGATGGTGAAGGATGAGTGTAAAGGGAACACCAAATCAAAAATGCTCTGCCTCTGGGCTCTCTCGCCATCGCCATTTTGTTTGGCTTGACAATTGACAAAATGCTACAGGGAGTTGAAGTTACAATCTCAAAAGCTGAATAAACCACCAGTACCTGTTCCGGGATGCATTGATTAAAGCCTATCTGGGGGGGATAAAAAAATAAATAAAAAAAGATTATGAGCTCCATATTAATTACAGCGGTGCCTTGAGATCCTCTTTCCCTGTTGCAATAAATGGAAATAGTTTTAATCTGTTGCAGGCCCACGATAGAGCCCCCCCCAATCCCATTTTTTAATGTGTATTTTAGTTAAGGGGGAAAATAGCTCCCTGTAAAATTGTACTCTATAAAAACATACAATAATGACAAATGTCAAGAATTAATCTGTTTTTGTCACAGCTTCTGCTTCAGTTCTACGGTCATCACGCTACTCCTTGTTGTCTGAGCCTGGATGCAAATACATTCATATGGCTGCCACGTCAAACTCAGCAGTCAAAGTACCGTAGTTGTTCTTCATGGGGGATAAAGACGATGCATCTACGTGCATTGGGTTAACATGTCAGATTTCAAAGGTTAGGCTATGTGGTTGTCTTCAACGCATGTCATTTTTTTTTTTAATTATGAGAGTAAACTGGTTGAAGAGTTTTCTTAAAAACAAATGACTAATTCTATCTGCCGAACTGCAGCTTGTTGTGAAGTGAGTCAAGTTCACAGCCACCATGTAGCGCTTGTATCAACTTTGCACTGAAAGCCAAAAAAAAACAACAACAAAACACATTTTAAAAAGGGGCATAGTACTCGTAAACTGGGTCACACGTATTTCAAGGCACCGTGTATCAACTTTGCACTGAAAGCCAAAAAAAAAAAAAAAACAACAAAACACATTTTAAAAAGGGGCATACTACTCGTAAACTGGGTCACACGTATTTCAAGGCACCACCGTACCTAAACTCGGAGCGATTTCGTAACCCGCAACATACAGTACTAACTTTGTGTCATTTCTGCATTTGTAGGATCAGTAGAAATTCGGCAGTAGTTTGAATTTACAAACTTGAAAGCAAATTTCCAAAACACACTTTTATTTCGGAGTCGGAGACAACGCAGTAATGTGAAGAAGTATGGAATGTGTCGCCCAAAGAAAGTGATGACCAATTTAGACGCAAATAAGAAAAAAAGGAAACAAAAAGTTCTTGAAACATGGTGGGAGTGACAACACTGCGACAGAACTAAAAAAACAAAACAAAAAAACAACAAAAACAAAAAGGGGGCTGGGGGGTATGGAAGAAAACCAGGATGTTTTGAAACATCACAAAGGAAGTCCTGTAAAATGTACAAGCCGAAATAAATAGATGTGTACATGACAAGAACCCTATAATTTACTCTTTTATAATTCACATAAAGCTTGTGGTAACCGCCAGTACTTGAGACGAGAGACGGGTTCATATTCTCGAACATAGTAGTAGATCAACACCAATATGACGGCCTGAACGGGACAGCTCAACACCAGCCCACCCTCATATTGAACCTTAGATGGTAGAAGTCAAAAAAGGTCAAGGGGAAGGAAAAAAAAAAACCAAACAAAACAAAACAGGAGCAGTAACAACCCTGCGAGCCTCAAATCTCGGTGGCGTTTCCTGCTACTCGGCCTCATTTTGCCCTCTTGTCTGTCTTCTGCGCTCGTAGCTGCAATTTCGGGGGCCTCCAACTTTACTGTGGCTTTCAGCTTGAAAAATAAACACAAAAGCAGCCCTTGGTATCACAAACTCAAATATTCTTTTTAATTTCTCATCTTTTTTTTTTTTTCTTTTTTGGTACCAAAATCTCAATCACAGATAGAGGAGGAGCCACGGGAGAGAGGAGGGAGCTGAGCAGGTCTGGACTTGGCCAAACAAGATCCTACATGATATCATCTATGTCGTCGGGAGACAGGCGAGGGGGGGACAAAACAAAAAACAAAAAGAAACAAATGAGGAGCTGAAAAAGAGCCCTCAGTCGAGGCAAACGTACGGCAGGATATTCAGCTTGCTTTCGTCCCCGTGAGGGTCCAACGATATGCACTCTGTCCAGTCATACCAGGTGTCGTTGGTGTCCAAACAGCCATTGACCCCGGGCCAGTGCCGGTTGTGTATCCTGTCCAGGTCCTCGCCCTCCACGTCCCGGCCGACGCCCGGTAACTCCGCCGCCGGGCTATCGGCCCGCAAAACGTGCATTTGCCTCGACTCCTTCACTTGCCGTTCTTCCCTTTTCAGATACTGGGCCATGAAAAAGTGTGCGCTCGGGGCCTGCACCCCGGACGAGGTGAGCATGTTGCTCTGAAGGTTCAAGTAGGACTGGATGATTTCGTTTCTGGACAGCTCCTTCCAGTTTGTCTGGTGAAAAGGGTTGGGGGTGGGGGTGGGCCCCGCCGCCGTGGCCGTGGCCTGCGGCGCAGCGACCTCAGTTCTCCGCCTGGGCTCGGGAGCGGGGGCTTCCTCCGACTGAGAAGGCTCTTTATGGATGAGGGGCTTGATCTGACGCGTGACGGGGTCAAACGTCAGCCTGCGTTCTTTTAACCGGACTGGCTTCGTGGGGTCCTCGATTTTCTGGCCGTCCAAGTTGACAGAGTAGTCTCGAGAGCGGTATTTCCTCCTCTTATGCTCCGAGGCGGAAGTCAGCGAGCCGTCCGCGTCCTCCCAGACAGCCGCGGCGGCTTCGGCGGCGGGCCGGTGGACTTCCGAGTTGTGTTGCGGGCGAGGGGGAGCGGGCGAGAGCGAGGGGGATTCCAGTTTGGCGGCTAAGTCTTGCGGCGGGCAACGGGGGGGCACCTCCGGTGAGCTCGCCCAGTGCGCCGAGGACCTCTGGGAAGAGTGAGCGCTTTGAGCCGAGGGGGACGGGGGCCGGGTCAGAGGCGATGGCGAATCGCCGGACGAAGGGCTGGGGAGCGACGCGGGCATTTGTGCGTGTGCCGCGGAGCGCTTGCTCGCGGCGTCCTGCTTTGCGCTCCTCGGACTGGTGGAAAGGCCCCGGGGGCTTCTGGCGGGATAGGGCCCGCCCCCCACCCCGCCGTCGTCCGCCCTGGCCTGCTGCTGCATGACGGCGACCTTGATTAAAGACGAAGTGCTCGGGAGTTTGGCCAAAGCGGGCGAGCTGGGCCGAGGCTTGACGGCGTTGACGGGAATCCGGCCCATTTTCTCATTGTCAAGGTGCTCTAGCCGAGATCGGTCGGGAGACGGGACGACCTCCTGGTCCGGCGGGGCGTCCGGGCTGCCTGCGATCCCGTTGCTGGGCGGCGGGGACGCAGAGTTGTCGTAGGGAGGCAATTTGGACATTTTCTCCGGCAGGTGCACGCCGCCGTCTCTGTGCTCCGCCCGGCGCTTGCGGCCACCCGATTTTTCGGCCTTCGGCGAGTACGTGTTGTGAACGTCGTTTCGGACTTTCAACTCGGGGACTCCCTTCGCCGGCAGAGAGATGTCGGGCGGCGAGGCTTCCGTCCTGCAGGGGTGAGAGCTGCCATTGGTGGAGCCGGGAGCGCAGGCGACGGCGGGCCCGGGTTCAATCAGCTTTTGCCAGTTTCGCAAGAGCTTCTTGGCCCGCTTGGCGAGGTCTTCGTCCTTGGTCTTCTTCCGTACATCGTTGATCAGCTTTCCGAGTCGGGTTTCCTAATGCAAATGGGCGTTAGGGAGAAATCTAAACTCGTAATGACCACATTCCCACCGCACGGCTCAGTTTTCCTCACTTCGGTTCGGGGCGGCTGATTTTGCGCTTAAGAATCACGTTGCATCAGTCGGAACGGGGCAAGCTAACAAGCAGTGTGAGGACAGTCATCTCATGCATATTAGCGGTTGACTCGTCTCCATTTTTTCTTTCCTTGCCCACCTACGATGCCACGAGGTGGGACCAAAGCCCGGTCTCAATATGAATCGGCAACAAAGAAGTAAGCTCTAGTTTAGCCTGGGTTGTAACGGAGAGTCTTGGCCACGTGTGCTTGCGCAGCCGTGTTACGCGACTAGGAAAACAAGTCATTAGTAATGCGGTGACTTTAAAGAGCTGACATTCTACCATGATTCCAAATATCTATACATTTTTGGGATCACGGTTAATGGGATATTTACCGTTAAGAGTCTTAACTCATCCAGCATTTCCCTCCCGTCGCCCTCTACAGACATCAAGTACGCTTTTTAAGGGGGAGGGTCAATACGCTTGTTAGCTGTACTGACAAACGCAGCCCCGGAGATGGCAGTGCAGCGCTTTGGATTTGCTTGCCATCAGCAGCACATTCGGTCGGTGCGAGAGAGAGAAACGGCAACAGAGTGTAAGCTGGACAAGTTTAGGCACCGCGCACTACAACTGAGTACCTCCACGTCTAGAATAAAGTATAGGTGGGCAAGGTATCTAGTGGAGCGTGTGTGTCGTGACCATGAGAAAGGTCGATGGCGTTCATTGACTGAATGACAAATGCCATCGACGGTCGACGCGGGCCACGCGCTAAGTCGGCGTCGCTGTTGGCACGTTTCTGAGTTGTGGCTTTGCCGTCAAAAGCTCTTGCTTGCTCTTTTGAGTGGGCCTTCACTTATTCCTCGCTTATCTACTCGCAAGATACTCTTCCCCCGCTTTTGCAGTTTGAAGTGTCACAAAGAAACAAGATCGGCGTCCGAGTCAGGCTGGGCCATGTGGCTGAAAAGTGTAGCGGGAGCCAAGTGTGTCATCGCAGCTAGTAACCGTCTTCTTTCTTGTCTTTTCACTTTTCCAAATAAGGACCCAGCGAAAAAAGGCCGAATTGGGGCCATTTGATTGGAATATTTCACCTTTAATACACGCCGAAGAAAAAGTGAAAGAAACTGGTCATTCAAAAGATTCAATAAACTCCGAGGCCGATCATAGCGGTGGATAGAGATGATCATAGATTCGGATTTTTTTTTTTTACCCCAAACCTATTTAAGATGAGGAAAAACAATGAAATAGATCGAAATAAAAACAAACCAATTGATCAAAAGACAAAATTAAATCAGGACGAAAAATACCATCCCAAATATCCGGTAGCTAATCACATGTTCAAAGGAATGTGCAGTTTTTCTGTGGCGTGTCATGCGCAATGTTGACATGCGTGCTCCTCCAGCACGGCACCCAAAAAGCTTTTTGCGCAGGACGTTAAAACCGTAGCATTATCGTCGATATGTGACATTAACTTTCAATGCAATCGTCGCATCGCAAAAGCACCCTCGCCAACTCTCTTGGAGTGCACGGATTAGAGTTGAGCACCCGCCTTAGGATTGCTTTCAGCTGGCTCATCGTTGCCCTTAAGGACACTCGCCTGTTTCGGCGCGACGCTGAGTATCGGAGCCGGCCAACTCCAGAGCTAGCGCGTCAACGACAGGGACTCCTCGACTTCTACTCCACGTATCCATGCTTCTTGATTCTCTGACGCGCTTGCAATTGTGGCACAAATCTCACATCAGATTGTAGCCTCTGCCAACAAGGCACCCAATGCCGGGGTTTGTTTCTTGATTTTCTTTCTCGATCTAAGATTCGATCGACACCTTTTCGACTGACATTGATCGCGCGATAAATATCGATTCTGATTTACCCACTCTTCCGCTGGACACGTTTATGTACAAAATGTTACCTTTCTCTGTTGGTCAAAAATGGGTGGTGTTAAGCCAACTTTTGTTCTTCTCCTGATGACTAAGAAACAGAAAAGGGTAGAACATTCTTCCTGGTAGAGAGTCTCCTCTCTTTTGGTCATTCAAAAGTAAAAAAAAAAAAAACTTCTCTCGAAAAAAGGCTGACATGATTGGGATTTCCGCTTTGAAAATAGCTGGCAGTGAATTCGGTTAATCGAGGCTATGATCCACATTTGGGGGGTCAAGTACTCACTGCATTTCAGTATCCGAAGCACCCACAAATAGCCGGCCCGGGTGACTGCATTTACTTCTAAACACATGGCCGTTGGCCTCGGGTAAGTAGACGCATTTTGTTTAGTGGCGACAGGCGGCGAAAGGACGCAAGAGAACATTAGTATGCCTGTTTGTGACATTTCTAGCAGGGTATCAGCAGGACCGGTGAGCAACTACCAGTAGTTTTAAGTGACTCTTGATGGGACCGGACCGACTTGGAACGGCATTTGGGGCACTCGAACCCCGAAGTGCGTGGTCCTGCTTGTGGGAAAGTGTTCATCCCGAGTACAGCCGTGCCAGGACGATTGGGCACTGTGCAGTAGAAAACGGGCAGAATTTTGCGTTGAAAAAGTGTGCATTTCTCTCACCTCAAGTGCTTCTTTGGTGATAGGATACTTCTCAAGACAGGTAATCACCTCAAGTACAACCACCATGTTGCATATCTGCAATAAAAACAATTAGCATTCGTTACTCTTCAAAAACGGTGTGAATTAGCACACGTGTAGAATCGAATGCCATTTATTTTAGATAGGCGCTAGGTGGACAGACAGGCTGAATTTCGGGGAAACTCATTTTACGGTAATTGCAGGGTGTGTAACGGGACAAGTTAGCAACGACCAATGGACATTACCTTCAAGGTAATAAGAGGGTTGTTGAAAAGTACTCAGCAATGTGTCAACCGAGAGAAGGGGGAAAAAACTTGACTGAGGCAAACATGAAGGCGAACTAGCGTGTAAAGCAAGAGGCAGTACGTCGTTTGTTAAAACGAAAGGAGACGTTGATTTTTTTTTAGAAAGCCAAAGCCAACCGGCGTGCGCGAAGATTTACCTGCGTTAACGCTAGCCGAGCGTGCTTAATGCTACCAAGTGGAGTCGGAACAGTCGCTCTTGTCTAGCTAGCGTCCCCGAGCTACGAGTTCGCTAGCCGCAGCCGACGCTTGTTTAACGGGGAAACGCGAGCGTCTTGCGCTCGGCAGCCAAACTTTTGCCCGCTCGATGTATTTGGACGATGTTTCCGAAACGTTCGGGTTCGCCGAGGGCGCGTCTATTCGTATTATTCCGCCGTGACGCTAAAAATGCTACTTCCGAGCTTTGGCGTTAGGGTTAGCATGCTAACGGACTCGGAGGGTCTAAGCAGGCGAGGGGGACAGAGCCAGCCACTGTTGCTAAATTAGCTTCCGAGCTGTCAACTCGTCCCTTCCGTTTCGGACACATTCGCCATTGCCAGTGACAACCGACGACGGCGGGCCGCGCTGCTTTTCGAGCAAATGGCCACGAACTGCCAACGTGAGAGAGTCGGGAGCGTGTGCCGGATTGGCATGTAAACAGGCTAACGTTAGCAGCATCCAGCCCCGCGATAGCCGTTTTAGCTTGACTCACATTGCTCTGACTGTCGATGGCCTGCAGCAGCCGGTCCCTCATCTGCTGCGGGGTTGCCGAGACCGTTGTCATTGCCCGGAGGATGGAGGGAGGAATCCTCCAAAATGGAAACCGACAGACAATCGTGACTCAAACGCCGCCGCGGTGACTCAACGGACGTCCGCGCAGCATTTTTTCTCTGTCGCCTGGAAGGTAGACAAGTCAGTCTCCCCCCTCCCCGGTTGGGATCATGTATGTGCTGCGCTGTGCTGTGTGGAGCACGGGAGGATTGCTGCCTGCCTGCCTTCCTCGGCGTGGTGGTGACTGGCGAGACTCACTACCAGCTGCGGGAGCTCTCGACGGCCTCGCGGTGCATGCTGGGCGCTCGTTTTCTCGCTCGCTCGCTCGCACGCACGCTCTGACGTCCGCGCCGCCGACGCCGAGGAAACATCCGCACCACGCGTACCCCCTCGTTCCCCGGCCTGCCTCCTTTGTGCGCCGCGCTATCCGGCCCCTCTTGCCCCACACCCCCATGTGGCTCAAGTACACGTTAAGTGGATGTCCCGAACAAGTGAAGTCACAGGTGGCAAAAAGATTCCGCGTTTACTTCAAAAGAGAGCCCGTGGTCAGACAACCTAGTTCAAGTCGAAGCACCGATCGGACTCCTTCAGAGGTGGCATTCGTGCTCAACACTGACCTTAATTGGAAGGCGATGCCAAAGACGGGAGCGAAAGTGAACTCCTGCTTCGACTCTACCGACGACGCCAAAATACTCACATTCTGAAGTACAGTACCGCTACTTGTGTAAAAAGAGACTCCAATCAAAGTGGAAGTACCTCTTTTAACCCCTTCATGGGCGCGGGTAGAAGAAAAAGCCTTCACACTCTGTCCATAGGAAGAAGTACAAATACTTGCGTGAAGAAAAAGACGATTCGACTCCTTCAGAGATGGTAAAAAAAAAAGGTACTCACACTGTACTTGAGTAGAAGTACAGATACGTGTGTGTTTAAGGAGACTCCAATTAAATGAGTGGGGGTGGGGGAGCACTCATACTCTACTTAAGAACAAGTAGAGTATGAACTAGAGAGATATGGAGCGCGAGAGAGAGACGGATTGAGATGAGTTCAAGTGCGGATTTGACTTCTGTCAGCGTGGCAAAAAAAAAAAAAACACTCAAGTACACATACTTGTGTAAATAAGAGACCGGTCAAAGTAGAAATGCCGATTCTACTTTTTCAGTGGTGGCCGAAGTGGTCACATTCTGTGTCGAGATTGCCCCACGGGGATAAATAAAGTTTTCTGAATCTGAATCTGAATCTGAGATAGAAGTGTCAAAAAAGAAAAGTAATGTGACACCTTTGAAGGTGGCGAAAGTACTCACTCTCTATATTCTATGTTTTTGTGTTAGTACAGACTGCGCCCTAAGCATCCGCTCAGTGTCACTTTCACAAAAAAAGTATTTAAAAACTAAAATAATATAACAAAGCAGGTAACCTTTAACCTATGGCGACTCGTGACCTGCATCACCGGAAGTTGTTAGCGGTCAGCTGTCTGCAATTGTAGCTTGCGATCATATCTGTTGCCTCATATCTTTTTTATATTTATTATTCTCATTCAGAGTTTGTTTGACGTACAATTTACCGATGGCACTGGCAAAGAATGGGAATTTGGAGCGCCAAGAGAAGCATTTTAAAACGGTACACGTGGGCTCCGATAGTGACGTTGTTGCACTGAAGACGCTGCCAAAGTGCGTCCCATGCCGCTACGTCAGTTCTCGATTAAGGTAGGTACTGATTCCTTTTTACAAACTCACAAGCTCTTTTATCCACTTTGTTTGTCTGTTATCTTCATGTTCTGTTGCTCATCATGGCATGCGTGTGCGTATGCGTGCACGTACGGTAGCGGGTCGATCGCGTGAGGTCGTTTAGTTGAAAAATCGATCTCCGGTGAAAAAGGTTGGGCACCCTTGGGGTCGGGGATAATCTTGGGATTCTTTTCTGTGTTTTGAGTAACTTTTTAACCCTATTTTTATTGCTTTAAAGAAAACACTGACAGAAATATATATTTTTTTCATGTGAAAAAATAAGCAGGCTCAATGTATACATAATTTCATATTAATGGTAATGTCTCAAGATACGGTTACACTATAGGATAGAGATGCACATTTAAAGTTGCATTTGACTTTTCAAAGTCAGATGAACGCGTACCCCCCTCCCCCATTTTGCTGCTGTAGACAAATTTCCCCAGTGTGGGACAAATAAGGGTATCTTATCTTATCTTATCTTATTCCATGTTTCTTGTGTCTTGTGCATTTGGCCACAAGGTGTCAGTGTATCCCTAAAAAAAGAACTCCAGCCACTTTCCGTCTCTGAAAAACAAGCTCCCAAAAGATATTTGAAACATTTTTCTTCCATCCAGCTCTTCCATCGAGTTCGTTGGTGGATGATGAAAAGCTTAGTTTCTCACACTTTCATTTTATTCAAAGATAAAATCATTCAGTTTTCAAACACATGTACTAAAATGTTGGCTTCAACATAACGACATACAGTTGATGGACTAATTTAAAACTCCTTTGTTATTTGCCTGTCATACCTCAACCCAAGCATAGGGGACTGTGGTGGTCCATGATTGTATTTAGTAATGGGTACTTTTGTTTCTGCATGTGCTGTGGTGAAATGAAAAGGGGGATTTGCTTGCTCTTCACCTGTCACGAATGTCTGTAGGACATATAAAATGTTTGTAAACGAGCGCCTTAGTGGGTTTACGCAAAAAACACACAACCGATTTCCATGAAACTTTGCGCAGGTTCTCTTCCGCCGCACAGGTGCAGTGGTCCCTTTCCAGAAACACGTTGGAATGCGACGCCTGCACGCACATTATCTCACAAACCTGCGTAGAGTCCATCTGCTGCCATCTTGTGGTTTGTAAGAGTGGAATTGATTGCTGAAGTGCCTTGGAAACAATTTCAGTCAAATTGAGAGCACTACTTGTCTGTCTCCAGGAGAGGCGCTGTTGCTTCAATCTCAAATGTTTGCTGACTGAAGAAGGGCAACGCGATGTCAGTTAAATTGAGCTAAGGCTACGCAGACCTCCGCGATGTCGCAAATCCTCCTAACATCATTCTGCTCAATACAATACTTGTTTTAGAAACAGATGTTCAGAAAATTTCATTAGTGTCTTCCTTTGCAGTAAAATGTATAGAAAACAATACATATATTAATTCCTCATTTGAATCAATCAAGGAAATTTAGTCAAAGGCAAATAGCGGGAGATCAGTGAAACACACAAACACAATGAGTGCAATCACACAAGAAGTCCTGTTGATGCGGGCAATGCCACCTCACCAGGCCCCGCCTCTTAAAGGCACAGACCTAATACTTAGAGGGTATTATCTCTTTTATATGCCTGCAGTTCTTCTTTGTGTTGAAATATCCTGACAATATGTTTAAGAAGTGTTTTAATAAGTGTGTGGTTAATAATGTTAAACATGTGGTGCAGTAAGCCTAGCAAACGTTTTTTTCATGGTCTCTCTACATAGACTTTAAAAAGTCTACACACCCCTTTTCAAATGCATGGTTTTTGTGGTCTTAGCCAAAATGCCAGGGCCAAATATATATATATATATATATATTTTTTTTGGGGTGCCAGTCCAGCCCTGAATAGACCAAAGCTTCCAAATTGGAATTGAATTCAAATGAGAACTCTGATATGTTCATCTGAGACTCACCTACAGCAGAGCCGTGAGTGGGCTTAGACTCTGATATATCTGCAATACACTGCGGCAGGCAACATCACGGTACACCACTCATTAGAACAAAGAGTGAGCCTTTATTTTCATCTTGAGAGCTCTCGTCTCAGAGGGCAAATGGTGAAATCACGCGCTCCTGTCACCGGCACGTGTTTGCGGGCTCCTTCTCCAGCCCGTCCACATCAGCAGCTATATGGGGAATCCTACTGTAAAGATGTGCTCACGTGTCTCGCAAACATGAGGAGCTCTTAAACTGCACTCAAATATCATCACGCTAAGTTGGATAAGTGCCAGCCCGGCTCGCATGCATTTCACGGCTAGTCTCGCTTGTCGAGGCCGTAAATCTGGAGAGACCATTGGGTCGAAGAAGACGACACAATAAATTAGTGTCACCAGAGTGGGGAACCACGATATGACTTGGCAGGGAGAAGGAAGAGGAGGGCAAATTGCAGGCGTGTTTATGATGAGTTGAACAAAAAAAAAAAAAAAATGATGAAACACTCAAGAGACTTTTTAGGAAGGGAAGTAAGCAATCAGATCTTTGTTGCCATCTGAAATGGAGGTCAGTTTTACAGGATAGTCTGGGCAGTGGCGGTGTGAAAGAGTTCAGCGGGCTCCTTATACATCCACGCATGCACTTGTCTGGGACTGTAAAAGTCGAAATAACACATTAACCTTGTTGGGTTACACATTCCAGGAAGCCTTTTATGATTGTACCCTCCGTCATACTGCATTTTGAGTGTGCAGCGTTATTGCCACACTTACTGTTGTTCATTTAGAGCCTGAAAGTGTTTTTCAGACAAATATTTACTTGAATTTCTCAGCATGACCCAAATTATGATCTTAGTCTGTTTGGTGCTCTTTACCGTCTTTGTTACTGATTTGTTGCTTTACTGTTGTAGGGCTATGTTAGTTGCTCCATGTACAGCACTTTGTGTGCAGCGATGGCTGTTTGAAAGTGCTCTATCAATACAGTTGAGTTGAGTTGAATTTGTGAATGACTTTGTTGCTATGTTCGGGTAAATTTGTGATCCGGTCCGGTGCGTTCTGACCAGGGTTACAATACTGTAGTTTCATTCGGGTTTTGATTTTTATTTTTTTAATTCAATTAGTTTTAATTAGTTTTTAGGACTTCAAAGTCTGTCTAACTTTTGCTTCAGCACTGTACTTGAATCAGGACCTCTCCTTTTCCTGAAGTCTCATTTTTTAGCATCTGTACTTAATACCGAGTATGTGACTACTTTTGCCACTTCTGTGTAGACTTAACAGAAATATGACAGTACCTAACGTGTTTTCCTCATCATCTACTTTTTAATAATAATAATAATAATAATAACGTGGCATCTTTTTACGTAACAATGGTCATTACGATCCGGGCCAGCTGCATGGTCAGCCTGTGGGTGTTTGTGTCGCCACATCAAATGTTTCTGCGACCCTCCACCTGACCTATGTGTGTGTGTGTGTGTGTGTGTGTGTGTGTGTGTGTGTGTGTGTGTGTGTGTGTGTGTGTGTGACACGCACAAAAAAGCTCTGACGTAATGAACCCCACACCGCACGTGGTCACGCAGTGGTCAGTGTTCGAGTCTCGCTCCCCGAGGCTAACGATGTAATGGCTCTGCCGTCCACCACTGTTTTGTCAGTGTCCTCCTAGATGTGTGTAAGGCTGCCTCCTGTGTTCTAATTTTCTAATCAGTACACAGAGCAGGATGCGTCACTACCAGGCAGAAGGCATACCTGCGCATGTGCACAAATGGTGTAAATATCTTGCTTCCTGTTTTAAGCTTAGCCCCTGACTTCTTTGGCCCGCCGCTTCTTCTTGGGTTCCTTCATGTCCTACGGGTGATGTAAGCAGCATTTATTCGCCAAAGATCACACAGCCATCTGTTGTAACCATGTCTATGTGGGTCTCTTGACTACCGTGCATTTGATGAAGAACATTACAACATACCAGCAGCAATTTAACACCT